ACTCTGCTATATGTATAAACGTAAATGTTATCAGAACTAATTAGAATTACTTTAATGAAAAAAATATGTAAGTCTAATTATCTTGTTCAGTAAACAAATATAAAAAGTACTTCTTCTTTCGTTTGCCGCTATTCATTAAATCGAATATTAATCAGTACAAAGCGATTAAATTTTATTTTATCGCAGATTATTTTTAAATATATATTTTGATAGTCGTTTACAAGTAAATTTTGATTGATAATATCATTGTTCATCTCGATGTTTGTAGATTCCTTATTTTTAATTCCACCAAACTAAAGCAGTGATTTAAGAGTGCAATCAGCTCAAATTCTATAACAATGTTTGCAAGTGTTAATCGAATTTCCAAACCACCGAAGTATAATCATATATACTTAGAATTAGAGATAATTGTTTTTCTGATTACTATTTTTTTAATAAAAAAAAAACGAGCTATAGATAATATATTAATATACATGTATATTGCGACATAAATAAATATTTTTTCTATTTTCCATCACTTTTTATTAAGATATATTACATCTCTTAGAAACAAACAACTTTTTTATACTATTGAACAATCTTTAAAGTGATTTACAAGCGATAATTCAAAGAAGACTCTTTTCAAACACCTTTTAATATTCAAAATATATTATTGTTAGGGAAATAAAAATTAACTTTTGAATATATCAGCTGTACAAGGTGATTGTTTAACACTAACCACTCGATATCTCTTAGAATAATAATTATGTTAAGAAAATTATTTTAGGTATTTTTTAGTTTTATATATCTATCAATATTTAATTTAAAAATGATTTTTTTCTCGTGATACATACTATTAGGTAATGTGATTTCATTAACCTTAATGTAATTTTAAAACTAGTTGATAAAAAATATATAATTTATGGTACAAGTATCTCCCAATTTAATAATAATAAGATTTAAAAACGAAAATATTTATTTGAACTATACAACCTTTAAATGATTACAACGGCTAATCTAAAATAGCAAATAGAAAATTTCCAAATTAGATTAACTCATTTAATGGCAATAAAAAATGAAAAAAAATAAATTTCAAAATTAATAATAATAATAATCATAATGAATGGATTTTTGTCTCCTGAATAAAAGTCAAAATTTGGAATTGGACCTTTTTTCCAAATAGCGATCTCATTATTTCAAAATGGACACATTGAAACATTTGTTAAATCAATAGAAATCAACTGTACATTATTCTTTTTTCGTTTGTCATGACGTGTTAATTATTATAGTTGCTTGATAGTTTACTTAAAACCTATACAAATGATACGATTACAGTGTTTACGATTACAAAACAGTACAATTGAAAATTAACTAATTGTATTATTATATTTATCTTTAGTACACGTTGCCCGGAAGGTATTAATCATATTATTTGAAAAACAAATTCGCTGAAGCACGTTTGCTTAATTTGATTAAAAACAAAATACGCTCTAGAGTTTGTTGTTTGGTACGATGAAGTTTTGTTGGCATGTGATTCAAATTGCAATTGTGTAACAAATGCAAGTATTATGTTTTCAAAAAAATAACTTTAAAAACATACAGAAATGATAATTTTTAATTAACATATTTATGATAAAAGTGTGCCTAGCAAAAATTTTGGTTTTGGAAATAATTATTCCCCATGTATTGCCCCAACTGAACAAAAAAATGGATTTAGAGTTATAATTAATTTCGCCGTATACAAATAGTACAATGGGCTAAAATGGATTCGCTACTACATCGGCAAGGCGGTTAAATGTAAAGACTGCTGATGACGGAGGAGACCGGCGGTCGGGAGCCGTTTTAATCTGACACAGCAGACAGACTGATGGCTGCAGGAAAAGTAAAACTAATAGCTGACTATCAAGTGCTACAAAAGGATTTAGAGGATTTCACTTATTGCAGCAGCTATCACCGCACGTCTTATTCACTTTAATTCATCCAACTCCATTCTCCGTCCACACTACACCTACCTATGAACTGAAATCCCAAGATCTGAGCATGTTACATTTTATTTGATTTTCTTTAATGTGTGCCCATGTACAAGTTAATGAAATCAATGTAAACAGTGCAAAAACGATAAACTCTTAATCCATCAACTGCATCTGCTACTTTACTAGTTTGACAACATTTAAGTACTTACGAGCCAATAGCTGATGAGAAACGAGTCAAAATAAGATAATAAAATGATTTTTTTTTCCTTTAAAAATTTTTTAAAAACAATGTAAAATCAAAAGAATAGAGAATTCTAACTTATTTGTAGTACTAAAAATAATTGGATTAGTATAGCGTAATAGATATTATCTACTTGGAAAATGAAATATAACTGTCGTTATAAGATATTATTGTAAATAAATAACTGTTTTTAAATAGTATTCAATAATAAATTTAAAATTCAACAAAAAATATTTAGAATTTCTTTTTTAAATTATTCTTTTCAAGTTGAAAATATACTTTAAAGTAAAAAATTACAGCTCATAAAGTCTCTACTAATCATATATTTATTGTTTTCAAGTATTATAAATAGAAAAAATCGAATTTCTATAAAATCAAAAAACGACAGACGATATTCTCAATGCGTTTACTAATTTATTTGGTAATAATGTACGTTAAACAAATTTCACATTCATACTATTAATACTGTTACTATTGTTGTACTTTTTAATGTATAGCAATGATTAAGATTTATTGTTATACTGTATATTAACTTGTAAACCGCCTTGTATAGATATTTTTTTTTGTTACGACCAAACGGCTGATAACTTCTTAAAGAGATAAATTATCCACTGATTTCGTAGTCCCAAGAGTGACATCAACTTCTGTATTCTTTCACTAAAATTATTCCAAATCGATCCAACGATTACATTTTTAGACTTTTAAGAACATCAAACGGGATTTGGTTAAAATTGTACGTTTTTTTACGTACCTATTTATTTATATTATTATGTCATACATTTTTCCATCATAAAAACGTTTATCATTTCAAATAAAACAGCTAAGTACATTTTAATGTTCTCTTTTCTCTGGCAAAACCATTGTAATAATTCTTACTTTTCATCTCACAAGAGTTATGGATAGATTTCAAAAATTATAAATATTATAAATGCAAATTGCCAAAGACATACTTAAGCAAATAACTGCTAAGTAATTATAAATTTATCGTCTTCATTTTCCACGTCGCATATCTGGTGTACGTACTTTTCATAATCACTAAAATCTTTTAACGTTTTAAGAAATTAATTTCAAAATTAACTTCAAAATAGTGTATGTTAACCATGAGAAAGTTCCAACACCAACTTCCCTACCTTGTAATAAATTCTTTACGCAAATCAGGTTAATGCTGCAGGACACAACCCTAAAAATAAAATTCCCTAGAAACTTAAAGTATTCATAGCAACAATTTCACTAATTTTATTATTTTTCAATGAAAGGCACTAACGCCAATAACATTAAAACGTTCAACTCAAAAACACTAATTATTAAGATGTAATTATAATGTTGAAACCATAAACGGATTTAATAATCGCCTAACAATACATATACGTTAATATTAATTATTTTTTGTTCGTTATTAATAGCAGCAGTTATTGGCCTGACTAAACACATACCAACTCCAAGTGATTTTTTACTTTAAAACGTTTGATGAAAACTTTTTTTAATCGCATGTACGGTCCACAAAGTATTTTTATGAATGGGATTTACTGAGCTATCACATGCACGAAATTCAAACGAAATAACTTTGAGATAACTTAGAAACAATAATAATTGACATGAACACGGTCTTATAAATATTTAAGCAAAACTTGTAGAAAATAACTCGCGTAACGTTCCGAGACCATACAAATTTGCATGTTATATTTGTAAATCAATATAAATTTCTAATAAAAAAATTCAACCGAACTCAGACAAAATTCATATTTTTATATCGTTTGTGATTATTTATGAACTATCTGTCGCTTTATCACTTTTACCCATTTTATTTCAAGTTTCACGACGCAAAAGTATACGTAAAAAATACATAAAACTCGTATGAATATTTTTACTTAAAACTAAATGGTATGAAAATATCGACGAGAAATCTGTCTTGGCGTTAAAGTTAACCTGGGCACAGTAAGTATACGGTAAATATGTAGTGATTACACTAAAACTTGTAGCAAGTAGAATTCTAGTTTGAAAAGTCAAACTCGTACTTTATTTGATTTCTTAATTAAATAACACTCGCTATTTAACTAACTATTAACTATTTAATTACTTGTATTGTTCATGAAATGATACCTTCCCCAATATGATCTTAAAACGACTAGAGAAAACTATTGTAAATACTACCATAAATATTTGTGGTAAATTAAACTAAAATCTCGACTCTAACTTGATAGCACTTTAGGATACTGTTTAGATATTGCAATTAATTACCCTGATTATTACTAATAAATCTTTATATCGCTTGATAAAGTATACACAATTCAAACGAAAAACTTTCATAGTGATTTTTATGTTTTTGTTAATCGTGAGAGGTTAATTCCTCTCAAATCGAATTAATGCAATAAAATTTAATTATTATATTGCATTAATTCAACTCTAATCGGTTTATTATAATTCATACAATATGCAATTAAGCCACTTAATAGTTTGAATAGATATATTAGTTGTCTTTTGTCTACACGAATGATATGCAGGAAGTCATTTAATTTTATAGCTTATATTCAAATAGATATTCTCATTAATATACAATCAAAAAAATTCAAGCGTATACATTTAAAAAACGTGCGTAGACGGTATAAAATTTTCTTGTTAATTCTATTTACAATCTCATTGAAATATTGAAAATTTAAATTTCAAAAATTTTATTTGAAATAAAAAATAAGAAGAACTAATTGTAAACCTTGAAAATATAATACGATTTAACGCACTAATCTTCTCGCGTTTATGGTTGAAAATATTAAAAACTATTGAACTTTGGTTAAAAAAAAAAAACAACTTACCAATAAATTCCTTAGTTGTATTTATAAAACACTAGCACTGTAAGTATATATTAGAAAATAAAAACGAATATCATAAGAGTTTTCAGACGCGATTGAACGAAAGTCGCACGACGAACAAACGATGGGAAACGATGGGAAACGTTAGCGAGCAAAGCATGAGCGAAAACTGCCGGTACAGTCAGACGGAAGAGATACAGCGCCTTACCGGCAGATCGGTCTCACCCTGCAGTGGTGCCTCCCACGCCTGTGCCAACAATATCCCATTCATTAAGGACGAAGAAGCTTTGACGAAAAACCAATTGGCTTCGTTGTTTCAATAAGAGCCAATTTAGAATAATTAAAGACGCCTTCCATATTAACTGGGATTTAGTTGTACTGAAAGGGTTGCTTAAAAAAAATTATATTAAATTATTCGTACAAGATCTTTCGTCGGTCTACGGATTGGAATCCAAATATTCATGAACAAAAAACAAATTCAGAGTATCAGTTTGAGTTGTTTACATTTGAGTTCAAAACTTTTAAAAGTGATAAAGTCATATGACTTTATCACGCCCAAGCTTAAAAAATAATTAAAATGTATTCAATGTTGACTAGTTTGTAAAAAGTAATTTTTCAATACTTTTTTTGTTACATGAAATTACAATGATTATGTGCCCGTAGTAATAACTAAACAACTACATTACAATGTTATTTAAAGGTAACAACTGTTAAAATTATTTAAAAAATTATTTACCATATATCCGGCCAGTGTTTTGTATTGTAGTAAATTAACAAACCAAATAATACGTTTAATAATAATAACGTTGATTTCAATAATTGTAAATATTTCATCGTGATAGGTGTGACAGAAATTAATCATAAAGTTCCATGTAGCTAAAAATTATTAAAATTGGTCACCCTCGAGCCATAAAAAATTGTGTCTGGATTTATAAATAAACCGTAGTAAACTAATCTAAAAGATACTTATAAACTTAAAAAATTCATGTTTATAAAATAGGTATTTCATCATTTTTACGACCATCTCATCTTTAATCTCGATGACAATGACATATTTTAAATAAAAATATACCGAACACACTAAAGTTTTTATCGAATTGCTATTTCAATAAAGAAATAAATTAATTTTTAATTTCTATAATGATTGAATACATTTTATAAATTTTGTTTGTTCTGTTACTAAAGTTCATATGAATATTTTTTTAACAACAAAGATTTAATAAATAAAAACATCATTTATTACATAATAAATAAATATTATAGTTTTATTATCCATGCAAGTAAAATTTTACTGTTGAGAGTATTATTGATTGTATTTTATTATTTCTTCATAAACATACCTTTATATACTTATATTTAATAACATTATGCTTTTAAATATATCAATGAATGATAGAAATTTGTCTTAAATAATGAATATATTTAAACAAATTAGAAATTATTATTTTTATAGGAATTTGAAAAGTGTACGTTGTGCATTTCTCAGTAATAATTCCTATGAGACTATTTACTAGATTGTCTTTACCTAATAAAGATATGAGTAATTTTGTAATTTTTGATTTTTTCAGAAACGTTACAGTATTATTATGGCAGCAATACATTATATTGCATTTTGTCATGCGATATTACATAAAATATAACATTACACAGTGAAAAATTACAGTTAACAGTGTTCACTAGTAGATACAAGCACAAATTACTGCAAAAATAATAAGTTTTTGTTTTGATAAAATAAAGTTAAAAATACAATTTATAAGTGAGTATTTTTAATGAACATTAATGTTCATTAATAATAATTACGCATTTAAAATGAATATTGACAAGAAAAATGACGATATATTAAAAATAACTATTTTCGTATTCATTTAGTTGGCCATACACTAAAATAGCATCAATAAAATCTAATGGTTCCATTGTAAATAATTGTATCAATGACCCAGTTAGAAACTGTAATAATTCATAAAAAGCTTTTATTTGGGAACAACAGTTTTGAAATTTCTAAAAAGGACATATGTGATCTCAAACAGAAAACATTTCCTTTAGAGATTCAAAATGTATTTTATTTGCTAGCAAAATACATTTTGTCGCTTCTTTTATTTAAAATCATTTTTAAAACAGAGAATTAAATTGAATTTTTTCACACGGTCTGTATTTGATACAAAAGTGTTAAAGTTTAAATCTGTAATTCGAAGTAGTTTGGTAAATTTTTTTTTCCTCAATAAGCTAAATTTCTTGAAACCATTTCAATACAGACGATGCTCAGCCAAGTCAAGTAAATCTGCAGTCACGTCAGAAAAGGGTCTTTTTACAGAGGTAAAAGTTTAACATTCATTGTGTTCTGTATTTGTATAGTGGTGACAAGGTATACAGGGAACTATTTGCGATAAAGATTTAGCCGTTCCCCATGTGACACATACAACGAGATTGAGCGACATCAACGAGTAAACTCTAAACGCGTTCGACCGTCTTCTTGTTCTTCAAACTCCAATACCGTTGACAGTCCTGTCTCCTATTGGATTTACTATGATTTTTCACGGATTTCCTTAATTATGTATAGCAGGCTTTACTACGACAATCCCGTTGTGAAATGGGTATTAGAAATACAAAGACAGAGATAGAAAGACAATAGCAAAGCGCATCAAACATCAATTATTCGAAACGACTACACTCGCAGGGCCCATTGTGTATGCGTTCGTAAATCAAATTTTTAACCGTAAAAACAATAAGCCAGTCGACCCGAACGACTCTCTTTTCATGGCAAATGTAACGTAACGGGTGTGGACGTACTGTGATGTTTATCGAACTATACAATTGAGCTGCAATAATAATGTTATTTGTGTAATAATGTATAATATTTCGTTGATGCACTCCCGGGATTAATGAAATACCAAAAGCTTTTAGATTTCGAAATGTGTTATCATTCTTCGAAAATGTTTGACGAGTAAATAAATATACAGAAATTAAAAAAATAGTATATTCACTAGGAAATATGAATAAAGAATAAATACATTCATTACCTGAACAGAGAGGATTTTGTAATATTTGGAAGTACCAAGTCCGGGAGAAGCAATGATAATTATTATGTATTAGGTGTGGTTGATTTTATGACGTGGGAGTTACTCTGTCGAATTACACTATAATAACAATGGCTGTTAACTAAATGTGGAATGGCTGTGGTCATTTAGTGCAATTAGAGTAAAGGTACGGACCTATAACCATATGAAACGCGCGATGCAAAGCTACTAGGGCAATTTAATGCACGTCATGTATGTTAATAGGCCTGCTCACTCCTTATGGACCGAATCGGGTTTCGAAATGCAAATTGTAGTTTAATTTGTAATTAAATCGTACAGTTTAATTAATTTTTTGCTTTTGAATACCCTTACGTCTAGCCTATTTAGAATGAAAATCCTCTTACCCGATTGCAATCTTTTTATATCATTTCCGGAATCCAATTAGAATTCCAACATCAACGTCACGTGGAAACTTAATCAAATATAATCAATATTTGCAATATTTTACTATAAAATGTCTTTTGGATAACTTAGATAAATGGTCATATGTATTATACAATTTATTATACACTGTTTATTTATTTTGCATATATGATCCGTAATAACTGTAGTAGTAAAAAATCATAATTTTCATTTTACAGAAAAAAAAAATCAATTGAAAAAATAGGTCGTGTCTATACGCAAAATTAATAGATTTATGTATTAAACGCACATGCTCCAAATCGTTGTTAAATGTTATAAAATTTTTAAAAGTGTATTTTTTTTTTAACGCGTGCCGCTTTTTTAACTATAAATAACTTTTAACAATTAATGTTATTAAAGCAACTTTATGAGCTGATCAGGTGCGTATCCAATGTCCATTTACGGTGGTAGAATAAAACAAGATAAATTTAAAGGTAAAAAATTTAATTTTACAACACATTATACTATACGGCTCAAAAAAGCTATTGTTTCCTCTAGGTATTGATGAAATATACACAAATCCATTAAATTTATTGTCATTAAAATACTATTTTCATTTTCAAAATACTGAAACATAATTGTTTCTTGGGTTCAAAGTAAAACGTAATCTATTAAAAAACCTAGTATATCAATGACACATACTATAATAAACTACACTTATTATGTAGCTAAACTCTATAGAGTCTAAAGTGAGCTTTTTTTCAATTCAACTTTCATCTTTGCGGTCATTTTTAATCCGTCACATCTTGTTAAATATTCATCTTGAACTCATCAAAGACTTCGAAATTCCGTGGTTATTGTTATTTGTTGTGCGATTTGTGCTACTGTTTGATTACTATTTGATTACGATTGAATACAAACTCGTCGTCGATGCCATTACCTTATGAATCAAATCGTCCGCCTTTGCATAGTATTTCACTTGTTTTGTTCAAATTATTATAGCAATAACGCAATGTTGATGATGATAATAATGTATTCTCGACAAACGAACTCCAACTGTGTAACGGTACTCTTTGTGAATTCGGACTAGATTCATTTGCATAAAATACAACTATAGAAGTATACTCGAGGGACAACTTTAATGTACCCGGACTTATCGACCCACCATACTAAGAATGATTTTTTATTTCATTTTTTACAATTCAGGTCAAAAAAAAAATAACAATAACTAACAAACTCGAGAGACAAATATTTTCTACCAATTTCTGTACACGTGATTGATAAAACAAAATTCTACACAACAGTTTTTTAATAAGTACAGCCGTAATTTTAACATGAAATTTAGAGGGACTATTCGAGAATTTAAAATTAAACACTCAAATGAATCAAAATGATATTTTTCCATAATTAACCTATATCAACTAATATATATAAAATATTTTCAATGTAAAATTTGTATAGTATTAATGATATTGTAAGATGTACTTTTTTTAACAAGAAATACAAACTTTTTATTACCTTAAATAAAAAATTTAATTTTGCTCTCCTGAAATGTAAGATATTAGTTAATACGGTTAAGCGTAACAAAGCGACAATAGAATTCTTTAATAATAAACTTTTGTTATTATATGTAATTTGTAATTTCCACATTTTTTTTGGTATAATAATTTATATAGTTTTCCTGAAATTTTGAAGATTTCATTATAAAGATGGAAGTACTAAGCCCTTCTTAATTTGCGCCTATAGTAATCAGTATTTTATAAATTCAATTTTTTGTTTTTTAATGATTTCTATGCGTATTTAATTATTTTC